GATCAAGGATTACTTGCAGAGAAAAATCTATTGCATGAAAAGTAGCGAAGTTATTCCACATTTCGTACGTGGGATGCCCGGCTATTTTTATATTCATGTCTGAATCTGAATCTGAATATGAATGTGAAAATGAATATGAAACCGTAGAGCCGATGGTAAAATCTTCCATGGTCTCTGTTTACCACGTCATTAAACGATCAGAGGAAAGGAACTAAGTAAACAGACCCCAAAATAATTATGCAATAACTTGGCGAATTTTTGCGTTAGGTCCTTCTTAAACCATTCAGCGCCTGTTTTCTTTCATTTTCTCGATGTAAAGCACCGATGTAAAGGGACTATTGCTCCATGAAATACTTATATATATATAGGAGGTTCGGTGTTTCAAAGTAAAGTATATATTCGCTCCATCGAAAAACGTCCGTGACAGCAAGCAGGTGAATTTACTTGAATGGTTCTCAAAGTAAAAAGTGATAAATTTGCATGATAGCAATATGCCGGCAAATAAACTCTTGTTGATTATATATTTCTTCCTTTCAATCATCTTAATTATTTTTCTGAAGTAGAATTCATTTAATGCAAATACAGCCAACCTTACTAAACTTCACCGTCGGAAATTTTGATCGCTTATTAATGCATGCTTTGTATTACAAGGGCCAGTTGTATAAAACTCTTCATCTACATAGTTCATTTCTAGTTAACTCAGAATTACACAACCCTTATTGGCCAATTCTATCCTTAACCACAGTTAAAAGTTAACTAGTCTTTTTTTAAAAATAGGCCCCAGAAATGATAATAAGATACAGTCAGTGATTGATCCAAGCGAACGTTGCAATTCAAGAAAGCGAGCTTTATATATATGAGAATTCAATGAGTAGTTTGCAAGACAGCAGCAAATGATGTATTTTCGCCTATATAATCAAGAACAACTCGAGTGGTACTTATGAATACCAAATTCATTCTAGGTTTCTAACAATTCATTGCTTAATAAATGTAATGCTTGACAAATTATCACTGATGAAAAACCAAGAAAGAAAGAAAATTTTCGAAAACAAGGTCTTTTTTGGGAATTATAATTATAATTTCTCAAACAATACTGTGGGAATATTGATCTGCTTTGAGTATAACAAAGTAAATTCAGCTGCAGTCTTGTGACACTGCAGTCTTCTGACGCTGCAGTCTGTAAGGGAACGTGTCACGGCCGGTGCTCGTTCGAAGAAAGCGGTGCTCCTTATATGAAGCAATGGCGCAATATGAAGCAATATATAATGTCCTTTTTGCTACTGTTCTTATCGTGGGAATTTTTGGAAATGTGTTGGTTATCGTCTCCATTTTAAGGCAAAGACGTCGGTTGAAGAATAACTACTACTATCTTGTTTCACATCTTGCGATCTGTGATCTGGGCTGGCTTGTTGTTAAACTTTTATTAACTTGTTATCGATTCTACACCAAAGATTGGCTTTTCATATCTCGCCTAATTTATTGTCTTTTAAGATATCTGCAACACGGTTTTCAATTCGTAGGAATATACATGATGTTGATCATTGCAATTCTTCGTTATCACGCTGCTGTTCATCCATTAAAACACAACATCAGACGACGGAATTTGAAAATTGTTTGTTGCTTGGGGTACATTCTTGGTCTCATTGTGGAATCTGGAACCAATGTTCCCCAATGTTTTCTACAAAAGAACGTCGTTGATTATATGAAGAAATATGTTCGTGCGTACGTGGTATCATTACTGCATGTGGCTCCGACTATATTTATGGCTGTGTTGTATTATAAAGTATATCGGGCGCTTGAGAAGCAAAACAAGTATCTGAGAAGCTTACATTCAACTCCTGGGGAAGAAGACTTCAGTTCTCCTTTTAAAATCCTCAGATATATTAAAAATCGACGGACATTTCTTGTTTGTCTTACTGTTGTTCTTTTCTACGGGATGGGAAATGTCTTAATGTCTATTTACCATATTTTGAGGATCGCTGATATCAAGGAAGTATTGAAGAAAAATGCTTGGATTTTAAGTTTAGCCTTAATTTTACAAGCTGCTGGAACAGCTTCAGTAAACCCTTTAATATACGGTATTTTGGACAAAACGATGCGCCCGTTTGGAAAATGTTGTTCTAAGAGGAAACAAGTTTGAAAGATTCTAGTGAGAAAATTAAATAAGTTGAAAGAACGTCAAGGCATCCTTATTGAATACTTCAATCATGGTTGTGATGTATTACAAAGTATACCAGGAGCTTAAGAAGAAAAAAACCCTGAAATGGTTCGGTACAACAGAAATCATGTCGGGCAATAGAAATCTCCGGGCCCTCTTTTTTAAAGATATTTTCAGATATCTTCTAAATCGACCCATCTCTCTTGTTTGTCTTAGTATCGTTCTTTGGTGTATTGAGAGAAAATACTTTCCCAGAACTTCACACATTCTTCATCCGAGCAGAATAACATTACAGGTTTGAATTGTAGCTACTGTTCAAAACACTAATAAACAAATATGGTATGAGTTTTTGTGATATAAGGAATGTGTAAGGTCGATTTGTAAATATTACCAGTACCGCAGTAATTTAGTTAATGAAAGCTTTCATGCTCGAAGAAGTATTATTATAGCATTAAATAAAACGTTACATCATTGAAATCATTTTATTGTCTATTTGATATTTTTATTGATGATTTGAGCACAAAAATGCGTTTATTCATCTGGTGTCTTTAAGAAAAATTAAATTTGCTATTCAAAGCCTTTCAAGGATAATACCATTATCCTCGACACTCATTTTGAGAGTTGGGCCTCTCGAATTGAAAGGCTTGCATTTCCCCTTCGTTATATATAAGTAAAAAAGATGATGAAACGACCGGAAGTGGACTGCAGACTAGCAGTGCAGCTGCACTTTGTTGGCCGTTAGTGTAGACCGGGGGGAACCGGTATATGTATTTTAATGAGGTTACGCAGTAACCAAGATTAATATCGTACGAACCGCGCGCGCACTGGACACAAGGGCAACGAGGGGCCTGGGACGAGGCTCATAACTCTGGAAAGGAGCGGATATAGCAAGGAATGAGCACGCAAGGAAGCCATTAGCGTATTTAACGCCAGCAAGAGAAGTAGTCCGCTAGTTGGAAAAAAAAAATTTTTCGGGTCACGGTACACCCCTTTTCAAACGCAAGCAGGGTTAGGTTACCTCCACTGAACAGTTGTGTCATTGTGATAAGGTGCAGACTTCGGATGCTCAGATCCAGACGAAGCATGCTCGCGTGATGCGGACCTGAATCCAAGTAACTGATAGTGTCAGTCTCGCAGCCACGTCTGCACCTAACCATCCACACGGGTAAGGGTAGTGACGTCCGAGATTAAATGCCAATGGTTCCAGTTTGCATCAGAATTCAAATAAATCTACTAAACCTAAATCATAAGTTTTTGGTTGATAGCGACGCCTGTAATGTTAGGTTTCTCGGTTCTGAATCGAATCTCTAAACGACCATCGTTTGTCACAGATGGAAGATTTCGCGCTTCGATTTGCGTAGTGTAATTACTAATTCCAGTTTATTATCAGATCAGTGTTATATATTGTGCCCACCGGAATTTAGAGCGCTGTGATTACCGAATTTTGAATCCTTTCGGTTATCTCTTTAAGACTCCGGTAATTACCCGGAAAGAAACCCAAATAGTCTTAGAGCGATATAACTTTGTAGAAGATGACTGCATGGGTGAAGTGCTTCGAATGATCTAACTAGAACAACTAGAAACAACTAGAAAAAAGACTGTGGCGGTTATTCTATATTATTATGCATTACTAATGCAATCTCGATTGTGATTGGCTAAAAACCTACAGATAATTCTCAATGTCTTGCCACCTACACGACATTGAAAATTATCCGTAGGTGACGTAATTTTTTACCGCTAGTTTGTTGTCAATAATGGCGCAGGCTTCCTCTCTAAAAAGGAGATACATAATAAAACAATTATTGAATTCGCTTTTCGTATGATATCGAGAATTATCAAGCCTCAGTTTGCGTTATTAAACTTCACCTTGATAATTCTCGATATCACACTCAACCAAATTGTTAATTATCAGCAAATGTATCAAGACTAAATCTGCTAATTGCGTTGGTATCATATTGCTAATAGCTGGGTTTCCGTTTCCGTTATTATCCATGCATATCAATAGACAGGCAGTCAAGCTTTCGGGTTTGAAGATGGCTTTGAAATTCCTTTTACCATTTGTAACTATTCATGTTTAGAACTGCCAAATTCACTACGTTTTTCCAAACAAACATTGAAGTTCCATAATATAACACAAGAAATGCTCGAAAACTTCATAAAACAATGCATGCTGAATAAGGAAACTATATAAAAGATATTATGTAATCACAAAAGCCAGGAAGCCGCGCTTGACGGAAGTCGAAGCCAAACCTAGTCTTAAAACATTTAGGCATTTGCTGGGGTATATTCTGACATACATCCAGAGCAAAACATGACTGTTAATTCAATTTATAATATTTCATCTTAATGTTTGCGTTGTTACTCTAGTTTTAATCGCCTTATTTTTGCTTCAGACGTTTTCTTATGTAAACACATGATTTATTTACGTTTTGAATTTCTAGTGTCTGTACATACAACGAGTTTTATGAATATCTAACACCATGAACGTTCGCAACGCTTTTGAAGAGTAGGAACTAGACCTTTCGTTCAGAATAGTTCAAAAGATGCAAACTGGACTGGCCACTCGCATTCTTCTGAGCACAGCCGATGTGCAGAATAAACTTGACTTTTCCTCTAAAATATACATAAATACAATTTAGTTCAACTACAAACAGAAGTATTTCTGAAGTAATTTGACATATACAATCTTTCAGAAGGAAACAGTATTCAAATTATTATTTGTGCCATGCCAACTGCTGTCACCCGAGTGAGTAATAATAGTTCCATAATGCAAATATTCGAAGAAGGAAGTTCTTTATGTTTTGAAATTGATATTTATGACTTATTACTTCCTTTGAGGAAGTATATGACAGAACGAGTAAAACCTTGTCTGAAAGTCTTCAAAGGCTGCCATCTCCATATTATGGTGGTTAAACTAACTTCATTGTTCATATAAACAGTATACAGACGACTATATGGCCATGGGTACATTCATAGATATCGCGAATTGTAGCTGTACAATAATGCTGATCATTTCAACCATTTTTTATAGCTCAAATTTAGCAGGTAATACCAGTTATTTGATACCGTTTTTACTCATCGTATAATGTAATGTTTACGTCGCGGTATATTCAAATTCAATTCATTTATGTCAGAATGATGCGTATATAGACAGAGTTTAAACAGTTTGTTCGACATAATTTATTCTAAGGAAATTAAAACAGTTATTAAAACGGATTATTCCAAGTTGACATGTATGGAAGAACTTTGACGGTGAAATTATGCTAAATTTATGACTAATGGTGGAGTATTTTAGCTGCATATTGGCCAGTGATTTAGTCCCGTAAAATACCGAAAAAATCCCTCAAATAGTGGCAAGAGCATTGCACCGGCATCGCAAAAGCGTAGGCTCGATTCCTGCTAGAGAACCGATAGTTGATTCATTTTGCATCAACTGTTCCTGACTTGAACTTGAAGTGTGTATAATTCCACTTGAAATTAAGACCCTTTGAACATCTAGAATTTACATTCAATAGGTTTAAGGTTTAAGGTTTAAAGGATAGTCCATTGGATTAACTGTATGTTTTAATATTTCATTCTTTAATACTTTTCAAGATCAACACAGTCTTCAAGACAACAACAGGTATTTTTTACTTTCGGTTTTCGGAATGCCCATGCGTGATATAAACTTAAACCTCGCGATGCTTTGATTGAAGCCTTTTGTCGGGAAAGTTAGCATGAAAAAGGATATTTTTTGAATACCAGACACAAAGAAACAAATAGAAATAATGTCAAACAAAATTGAAATACTTTTCGTTGTCATTGGCACGCCAAAAGGTCCACAATCAGACAGGGGTTTAGAAATAATTGAGAAAAAGATTGCTTTAGAGGCTGTTTACATGAGCCCGGTTATTCGAGATTTAACGATGCGGGAGATAATTTTGAGACATGCACTAAAATAAGTTTTATGACGCTAAAAAAGCACATGCTATTGTATGGATGACTACACCACTCCCGGGTTTATGTTGCTTACTCATTTCAATACCTCAAGTCATCTCAGGGGCTGTTTACATGAGCCCGGTCACCCGAGATTCAACGAAGCGTGAGAGGACTTTGAGGTATTGAAATAAGTCTTTATGACACCAAACAAGCACATGCTATTGTTGTAGTGATTATACGACTGCCAGGACCATGTTATCTGCTCATTTCAATACCTCAAAATCATCTCACGCTTCGTTGAATTTCGGGTAACCGGGCTCATGTAAACAGCCCCTTACGCTTCGTCGCCTCGTTCAATCTCGGGTAAACGGGAACATGTAAACAGTAATAATTTAATTCGTAATCATGCTGATTGGTTGAGAGGAGTTCGATTTTTCAAAACTTCTTAAGAATAGACCGTTTCAGCCTGCATGCAAATTAACCTATTTCAGATGTTGTGACTATGGAATAGCCAATAAATCTTAACCATTTTAGACCATGTGGTATGAAATGGGTAATTTGCATACAAGCTGAAAAGGTCAATAGGTTCACTGGTTGGACTTAAAGGCCATTTTACAATTGTTCATTGTTTGATTCGGCCCTTTATTTCTATCTTTATTCTTTCCTTTCTTTTTAGAACCTGTATCAGTTCAGCAGCCGAGCCAAAACTCGTCTCAAGTTCATGCTATCCTTTGGTGAACTTCACTCGCTCTTTTTGTGAAAGTTATGGGATCGCGTTACCAAACTACGTTTACAATACCCCCCGTCGCCAAATTAAGGAAAACGACGAGATGAATAAAATCAACGACTCCTTGGGAAGGCTGGGAGAATCAAAAATAACCCGCTGGTTACAAACGAGCATAACAACATATCGAAAATGCATGCATCTTTTTATAACACTTAAATGTCAAATGAATTTTCCGAGTTGTGATCGAACGTCGAGCGTCTTTAGGGAACAAAAACTTTGCCGTGAAACTTGTCTTCAAGTTCGTCATATTTGCCGTAAATTATGGGATGTAATTGCGAGTTATGCGACAACTCGTCGTCGTGATGAAAAAACGAAAAAATTTGTTAAATGCGAACTACAACCATACAGAAACTCTGGTGACTCGCCAGAATGCTGGTACTACGATTTTGTAAACTCGACAGGTAATCCTCGATTTATAATTTTTAAAAAATATAATATCTTAGAGGTACAGAAATGTTAAGTGTAATGGACTATTGGGGGACAGGTGAAAGATGCCTTGGCTTGCCTTGAATTTGCTGGATTAATACAACCCCTGGATCAACACGCTTCATGTTTTTTCTTTAAATTTCATTTAGATGCACCCAAAGCACCAGAGTGGACTACCAATGCAGGTAAGCATAACCATTACTGGCGTTATTTTATTACGTGTAAAGTGTACAAATATCGTCTCTACGTGATGATATTCTAAATGAACAGGATGTCTATATATACCTTGTGGCGCTTGGTTGTCGAAATACCGAATCGCTTACTTCATCGTCTTACGTTACATATTCATCCTGTCGACCAGCATATATAGTGGCCTGGCGCGACTAAAATCTCTGGGATAACAATTAACTCGAAAATTTTGCATTGCCACCTGGGGAACGTTGGTCTGGCGATACCACTGGTATAAAATATCCATTTTGTTTAACACTTTGACTGAAAAAGACGGAGATTTTCGTTTTGATATGATTTCGATTGATCGATTATCACTTATCGATCGGTATAGACCACTAGCGGTAAAAGTGTTATTTTAACAACCTCGTATTGTCGCATTCATGCATATGTGTATGACCAGTTCTAACATGTGTCGTGTTTTGCCCCAGGGTTTTGACACGGTGTGACACATTTGGTCAATTTTACCATGGGGAATGTTTCGTGTTGTTTGAGCTATGTAATGAGAGTGGTTTGAGTGCAACACTACTCATATGCTCCACTTCATCGGTTTGTGTTTTTAGATAATGATAATAAAATCTTTCCTAATAGATTGTCTATACTTAAACGGAAGCAGTTACCATGGCAACATATCGGTGACGGCCGCAGGTATCACTTGCCAGTCATGGACAGAACAATGTCCACATCGTCATACCATGAACACCACATATCCAGAATTAAATAACGCCAAGAATTACTGTCGTAATCCCAAGAACTCAGGACAACGACCTTGGTGTTTTACTACAGATTGGAATAAGAGATGGGAGTACTGTGATATCCCTAAATGTTCACCAGGTATCTTTATAATTTTGTAATATAATAAATGTAATTTTGTCTATCGCGATATGTGAAAATACAAAAGAAAACTTTGTTCTAAAAAAACCTTAACCCTTTTTCGCAAGAAAGCCTTCTCCAAAATGATGTAAAACTATGATTGCCCTTATTTTTTTAAAATTCATTTATTGTATCGCTAAAGAGCCTAGCTAGAGAACTCTTCTCAATGGCTCGGCTCTATCGAACTAGTACTATACTTTATTAGTTGACGGTCATTATGGAAAATGGTCGCTGAAAAGTGCGTGTAATGTAACTTGTGGTGAAGGTTTTGAAACATGGTCACGAGATTGTAACAATGATGAGCCAAAGTTCGGCGGAAGAAACTGCAGCCACTTGGGAGAACCTCTTGAGTACAGACCATGTTTAATGAAACCATGCCCTGGTAAGTGGAGCCCACTGAGCTATATAATAATTCCTGGAGGACTTGTTCTTGACAGTGCTCTCGAACAGAAAGTGAAGCAAAAACATGGCGGATTTTTAGCTTTGTGACGTCATCTGGTCCCCTTTGCCTATGGTAATTAAGTAATAATTTCAAGCTTCACAAACACAAGAGTAAAAACACAGAAGATTAGAAAACACGCTTTTAAATACTGCTATAGTATTAAATGAAGACATTGAACATAAGTTTGAAACAATCTAAACAAAATAGTTCTAATTTTAAACGGCATTTAGCAGCCACAAATAATGACAATTATACACACCCAGTCTTAAAAACATGTCAAAATCGCATCAGTCCAAAATTTTACGACTACAAGTCCTATAGAAATAAAAAGTTTATAGAATGAAGGCTCTTTTAAAGTCCCGCAAATTTTAGCTTCACGAAAACAATCATAAGGTAGCGTTCGATCCTGCTATTTATTACTGTTCACTGAGCTAGAGCGACTGACGTAGGATAGAAAATGAGTAGATTTGAATGAAAGGTTTCAATTCATCTCATTGCCATTTTCATTTTCATTTGCTATTTCTAGTTAACGGCGGTTATAGCGAATGGAGTCTGAGAATCCCATGCAATGTTTCGTGCGGTGAAGGAGTGGAATTTTGGCGACGTGCTTGTGATAATCCTGAACCAAAATACGGGGGGCGTGACTGTAGTGAACTCGGGAACTCGAGTGTATTAACGAAATGTAAAAGAAAACGATGTCCAGGTAAGAATCAAATCCAGTGTACAAAACAAAAGAGCTATGCAAATTGTGATTGTAAACTATTTGATTGTATCAACTAATAACAAACTTCCTAGTTCTTACTGCTTTTGATCTTTTCAGTTGACGGTAACTATAGCAACTGGACAAAGTCCTTACCATGTAGTGTCACGTGTGGTCAAGGTATTGAGGTTTGGACGCGACAGTGTGATAACCCCCCTGGAAAGTATGGTGGAAATTGTAGCATCTGGGGGACGGATAATGAGGCCCGAATATGTGTGACGAAACCTTGTCCAGGTACGCGCGGCCGCTGGGGAAATCCCTAGCACCAAAATAATGCTCCAAGTCAGAGAGCATTTTCCCACATTTATCATTTAAAATATATAATTCTTTTGTGTGTTGAAGAAAGATTTTTTGTATATCATTGTATATATCTGGAGGAAATATGCTTTTATATCAGTGAAAGTTAGAAAAGACGAATGGGACTTGTGTTGGGCCTGAGCAATAGAAAAAGAAGTAAAACGTCTTTGAGTAAAAAGTGTCTCAATACTTTTTAGTTGTAATCGATTCCCGGACGACTGCTTTTATGGTCACTGCTGGGGTGATTGTACTTGCAGTGTTGGTTATTGTTTGGATTTTCTTGAGACGAAATCACAAAGAAAGCCGTAAGATTTATTTATTTCTAAATTGTTTGCATGAGCCATTATGTGAATTCTTCTCTTTACTTGAATTATAATTGCTCGTGCATTTTCTCTCTCTGCCATGTAAAATTTACCATCAGTGCCTCAAGCTCTAACCTCTCACTTTATCGACATCATTTGGACCAACGTCAAATTTCACTACAAAAACTGCCCAACAATAAATAGACTACCTATGAGTCATCCCGGTGATGTCTTTTCAACTTCCAATGGTGATATTAATAATATACGATAATAATATAATATACGTGATAATAATATACGATATTTAAATCTTTTAGACTCATCGTATAGTGCTGTGACAGAAATTACAGATATCCGCGCTTCTCGGCAATCTCAAAACGAAAGTTCGTCACGTGAAACTGGTACTATTGTTAGGTACGAAAACTTGACCGCTGATGGAAACCCATTTCCAGGCCTCTCGCGCGGTGTTGCCTCTTGTAGTGGGGACTACGTAAATACGCGACCTTCGCGGTACTCACGGTATGATAGACTTCAGTTGTTTCGTTCCTTAGCCGCGCAATGCCTTCGAAACGTATGGGGGAGTGTTGACGAGCAGGGCGGCCATGTCTATGACGTGTTGCAACGCAACGTCGGACAGGTGTTTGTCTCGTACGACAAGATTGGAAACATTGTAATGGAAGGCTTTGATAAAAGAAAGACGAGTAGTTCAGCTGACGATACACTTGAAACATCTTCAGCTGCCATGATAGCCGCGGGCACTGAAAATGCCCCGACGACTGCAATCGTTTGACGAATTAGGTTATGTGAATCTTATAGTTTCTACAAGGAATATTATGGATAAAATCGAATATAACATTGAAGTTATAGCATAGGGCAACCGCAAAAAATGTCAAATTCAATAGTAATAACATAGAAGAAATATGCATTTAAGCCACAAGGCATTTTGCCTCATGGAAGAAGTGAACGTACATTGTAAAGGTGAATGGGTCAAGTGATAATACAATAGAGAGTTGCCTATGCATACAACAACTGATCTTAGGTTCTTAGGAACTTTATCTTACAAGAATGAAAAAACAAAGGAGATGATATTAAGATGAGAGAAAAAAGCACTGTAGAGGCGCTTGTCAAGTATCAATTAAGGCATGAAGCTACATGAGATAATAAACATGGTTTGTAGGTTAGGTGTGCAGGTGACGGTTCAGTGTCGTTTAAAGCACTAGGAAATTCCAACTCTATATTAATATTGTTGATAATCTATGAAGATAAGTTATATACCGGGTGTCCCCCCCAAAAAAGCTTAAATAAATAATATTTTTATACAGCGTATATTTTGCCTATTTTAGAGACATCCCAAAATGATGTGCCAATTTTGAAAAAAATAAGAAGCAATTTTTTAATCAAACTGGAGTATTTTTTGGCACACCCGGTATACCTATCTCAATAACTGATAAATAACTGATATTTGAAAACATCTCTTCCAAAGCCTTTAAAGGTAGTCTACGTAATCTATTTGTTATATTCCGTAGGTGTACCTGGATCATCAAATAACAGAAGAGCGATCTTAATGCTAAAAAGTGGGCGTTAAATGCATGTGAACCTCTTTAACATCCACGCAAGTTAACCAAGCGACAAATTCTTATATCAAAGCGTCGACCAAGTTAGTGAATCGTTAGTTTCGTCTGTAAATGATTAAAAAATCGTTAAATATCTTGGAAAACATCGACAATCAATCTATATAAGCACCCTAACAATTGGAATATCCTCGGTACGATTCGGCGCGGAAAATAGATATGTGAGTTTCGTTTTAGATCAACCAGAAAATTTGTTTACATTTTTAGTAACCCAATCAGAATGCAAAAATTTTGACTACTTACGGCAAGAAGGTACATTATTTATCATTTTACATGAAGTATGAAAAATTTGGGCATTCTGATTCGCTTTGAAAGTGGAAATAATTCACTAATGAATCGACATTTCACTTTTGTTCCAGAGCTCTCAACTGCAACCATCTGGAACAAATTGGTCAAATACAAAGGAATAAAGTCGTTTCGCGCGAAAAATATCGCTAGTGGAAAACCGGCTTTAATAGGGCGTGCAATTTCTCTGATGAAGGCCCGGGTTAACGGACCAAAAGCTTTGCAGTACATTAAATACATACGATGATACGTGCATGGTTTAGCTACAAGCTAATTTACTTGTACTCTGTTTCATTGTTAACCACAATTTAACAACCCAAAATGTATAGATAAGAGTTAATTCCATGCATACAAACATCCCCATTTTGTCAACCGCTGTGCTTATGGCCAACAGCCAGTTGCTTTTCTAAAGATAAACGTGATAGATCAAATACACGGGAAGTATAATAAAAAACAATGCTTACACATTCGAGAATATTTGATATTTTGTGATATTGTCTTTGTTCGCTGATTTAAGCACCACTTCAAGGCTTTTTCTACTCATAATATATACCTTTGCTGTGGCTTGTCAATATGGCTTGTCACATCTTGTTCACATATTATTTAAAGTCTGTTGACTTGCAATGTATATGGGCAGCGAATCAACTGTGATCAAGTCAGATCAACTCAAGCGATTGCAATACTGCATTATCAATGACAGGCTTCGTCCCATACGTACGTCAAAAGTTAATTGGACCAGACAAAATTGAATCGTGTGAACAGACCTTGAAGTTGAATGATGATGAATTTTTTAAAATAAAGGCTGTGAAATTGACTGTAAATTTACAGTCTCAATCTGTGCCTTGTTTGAATTATATTTTGATTCTCAAGATGTCTTGTTTTTTTCGGAATTTGCTTTTTACTTTACTTTTTTAAATTGTCGGCTGGTCATGGTTTTTTTTACCCATATAACATTCTTTAGTAACGAAATCTAGACATTTTCCTTGAATTGGGATTTTAAATTGACGTCCGTGAGAAACTACAAAATTGGCAAACTTCAAATATCATTCGAAAGTAAATCTTAAAGGTTTCCGATAGCCTACTAGATATTCTCATGCTTTAATTTCCGCGTCATTGTTACCACTTCAACATGCGGTCGCCGCGGCTAACCCGGCTTGCCGTAAAAGTCAGTGTTTTAAAGTGTTTATATGACCGCAAAAGCTTGTACTGCTTTGAAAAGAGCACACGTAGACGTAGTCCTTTCGATTTCGTTTATCGTTAAGATCTGTTCACATGATAGAATGTAATCTGTAATCGAAAAAAAAAACTGCACTAGTTTTATAGTTGCTTTGCAGTCCATATATATGCAAGCCAACAGACTGTGAAACATTCATTAGAAGTGCATTGGATCCGACAAATGATATCCGAAACTTTCCTTTGTACATGTTTCCACAACCAAAACGTAACGTCACTGCTTTTAAAAAACAGAATTTTTTATGGCTTTTGCGTGTGCTTTGTATTTGCGTGATAAGGAAATCGTTTATGCTTCGCTTCGAGGAAGTCGAAATTAAATACATGCCCGCATGGAATATATAAGTATACTTCACTTTGCGGAAGTCAAAATTGAATTCCGTGATGCACGCATGTAGCTGATATATAAGTCACGCGTAAGTATACAGTGAATGATAAGTCATAATAAGTAACCTAAAAATGTTGAATCATATATATGCCGGTGGAACTATTCTAATTCTGACATTGATATTTCACGGAAATGCTGCAGGTAAATTTTGTTATCTTCAAAACTTAATCGGTCATAGATATCTTAATAACGTGCATGCATATTATCCGTAATGTAAACATTAACAAATGCTTTGTTTACATTTTTAATGAATTGCTATACTAAAATAAACACCACATTGTTGGTTTATTTCTGGATCAATGCGAATTAGATTTTATGTTGTGAGAAATGTTGCAATTGGCAAGTTGGGGGGTGCATTCACTCAATGTATTCCTATATTTTTTAGGAGGACGCCAATTTCGGGACGAAATAAGGTATATATATAAATATATACGACTCATACGAAAAAGACTTATTGAATGGATTAATTTGAAGTGTAATTCGGGTTAGAATCTTACTATTTATACGAGCTTCCAATTCCTCGCCTTTAGTCTTTTATGGATCGGAGAAATACGTAAAATATATATCAACTAGGCTGAGTTACATGCACGTTTGATTATATCGGTTCCGTGGAATTCTTCGGGGGTATAAATGCAGCTTTAGCGCCGTTTTCCACTGTTGCGTTTTTTGTACGAATGCACGTAAAAAAGTTAAGTATTCATAAGTATCATTTAAATGATGCTGATGAATTCAACGATTGAACTGATGCATATAGGGTTCGATTCTGTTGATGATTTTGTGTTTTTTCTGGGATAAAACTAATTATATAGCTAACAACTTTGAAGTTTTAAGCTTATACGCGCGTGTACGTATATATATACTTATACGTGCAAAAAAAGCGACACTGGGAAGAAGCTCTAATACTCGCGCTGGAGAAACATGTAAGCTAGAACCGCTTTTTATATCCAGTGATTTGTAAAAATTTGAAACCATATGAAAATTTGTTTTGTGTTTACTTTCGATGTAGGACGTGTATTCCTGCCGAAGCCGAGCCAATACTCAACTCGAGTTCCTGTTATCCTTTGGTTAATTTCACTTGGCCTTATTGTGAAAATCAAGGAATCACGTTACCCAACTATGTGTATATGCCGCCTCATAATCAAAGTGTGGCGAATCATGACGCAAATAAGGACGATGTAAAGATTACCAGGTTCGGAAATAAGAAAATACTCCACTATTTGAAGTTGGACGTGGTCACTTTGAAAATCTGCAAGCGTATGTTTGCGCTAATCAGATGCCATTTCTTTTTCCCAAGTTGCGATCGGACTCAGAGCGTGTATAAAAGGCAAAATATTTGTCGTGAAACGTGTCTTATGGCAATGCATACATGTTTGAAATTATGGAAAATAACCGGGGTCGCAGTTAAACTTAAACACCCAAACATGAAAGTAGACGAACTATTTAAATGTGAACTACAGCCTTATAGAAATGCTGGTGATAGCCCAGAATGCTGGTATGAAGATTTTACAAACTCCACAGGTAAACTTACAGTATATTAAAAAAAAAAATGTGCAGGTATAACGTGGGTTCTGATTGGTCGAAGCCCGTCTTTGGATGCTGAAATTTAATTCACCTTTAGAAATGAAACTTGGAACACTACATGGTTGTTCTTATTTTATAAAACAATTACTTAATGGTTTCCCGTGTTTGGATGGCCTGATCCAAACACTTGGGAATGTTACGACAGTTAAGAAAAGCTCGCAAAATTTCTCGCCTTTGGCTCGTGTTTCGCGCGCTTTTCTTAACTCTCGCAACATAGTAAAAGGTAAATTTATAATTGCCGCCATTTACCTACGAAATTTCCGGGTGGAGGCCAGGATCATACATACAAGTTCACTGGGCATCCAAACACAGAAACCATGGAGAAATCATGAAGGCAAACTGACGTTGTTATATGGTGACCTGGGGTTGGGCGAGGACAATCGACAGGAGTAACAGGGCTGTATGTGGCTCTTCAGAAGTCAAAATCGCCAACATTTTCGTGCCACGAATTCCGAGTTCTAATGGATCAGATGCTATGATTGATTTATCGTAGAAGAAGCCCAGATGAAATTTAATGCATGCGCAATTCATATCGGTGGCTAAAATGACTGAGGAGGGCACTTCATTACATTGGGTCGAGCTACCCTCACAATCTGTAACAAACGAATTAATATTTTAATGATTTGAGTGATATTTATTACCTAATTAAAATATTCACGTATTTTAAGAAACGCCAATCGCTAAGTTACGAAAATATTCCGATTGCTAGGATAGCCTGATCCGATGTTATTACTTACCTTCCCTGGGCACTTCATTAAATTCCGAATTATGTTTTTGGGTGTTTAAAGAAAAGAAGGAAAGCAGAAAAGGTTTCGAACACCGGGCAATTAACAGCAACATTTTCGACCATAAAAACCATAAAAAATAATGAGACGAATTTGTGCACTTAATTTTTTAGATATAACGATTTAAAGAAACTAAATGTGTTTAAGGTATTTATGTGATTCACGTTTCTTTTCAGATGAATCTTTAGCCCCAGAATCGCCAGACAAAATAGGTGAGGTATTGGTCCAAATATAAAATATGCAATATCTTATAAATTCGGAAAGTGTCTATTACATGTTTGTCTCAGAACATAGTGTTTAAGTAGAAAATACATGATTATAAACTATAAAGCTCACTAACTATGGGGTAGATTTATGCAAAAATTGTTCCTTTCTAATCAAAGCAATCGTTTATTTAATTAAAATATTTTTCAAGTCAAGGTTAAGGAGTTCAGCACGACGAATGCCATTGGTAAATTTGGCTAAAATACAATAGACACGTGACGAGAAAGGAACCATTTTTTGCATAAACCTGGACAATAACGTAGTTAATGAGTTGTATTGTACTTCTATTTAGTCTCCAAACCATGTATATTCTGTTAACTGTGCTCAGAAGTGTTAATCCATTTTTACACTACTGAACGAGGCAGTCCCACTTACCATTATCATCACAGTTCAGTGGGATAGATTTCCTCGTCCCCTTGCAATTCCAATTCCTGACAGTCTCTCTTCACAGATTGTCTTTACTTAAACGGAAGCAATTACCATGGCAACATATCAGTGACAGCCTCGGGTATTCCGTGTCAGTCATGGACAGAACAATGTCCACATCGTCATACCATGAACACCACATATCCAGAATTAAATAACGCTAAGAATTACTGTCGTAATCCCAAGAACTCAGGACAAAGACCTTGGTGTTTTACCACAGATAGAAACAAAAGATGGGAGTACTGTGATATCCCTAAGTGTACACCAGGTACAGTCATAATGTTATCTTGAATGCTGGACGTTCACGGGTTTGACAATAGATAAATCGATGATTCTATCGTATGTATTAAAAAATAGAATGATATTTTATGGTATCTCTTTTAGTGGATGGTGGTTATGGCGACTGGAGATTAAAGGATGCGTGTAACGTAACTTGTGGGGAAGGTTTCGAAACATTGGTACGAAATTGCGACAATCCTGAGCCAAAGTTTGGTGGAAGAAACTGTAGTCATCTTGGAAAACCAGTTGAATACAGATCTTGTTCAGCAAGACCTTGTCCTGGTAAGTTAAATTTTCAAATAACTCCGCTAAGCCGTAGCATTATGCAAAAATATATTATGTAAATTGTAAACCTGCATCTGTTTTTTTTTGGTGTGGGTTTGCATGTGAGCACAATGGCTAGTAGGCGAGGGTAATAATTTCAATTTAACACGATAAATCTCGCAGTGTTACGCTATCACCGAAAAGGTGTAGGATAACACCGATCATACTCGAACACCATTTGAGTGTAACACAACACTTGGAAAGTGTAACTCTGCACCATGTTAACGTTCCTGTTATTTGTTAACGTTCCTCGGCATAAATACTCTTTTTACACCAAATTTGGTGTAAGCTTACATGATGTCCAGTTTCTCTTTGTCTGGTTACATCACACTTTACGATAGCTTGAAAGTACAATTATTTAGTGTTAGATATGCAATCGAGCAGTGCAAATCTGCACTTATATTAGGTTCTTGCATGATTCTACCAAAAACATGTTGTACTCCTAACTTGAAGTTGATCCAAATTTTCACAAATAACTGATTAAAGAATTCAAGATTTAAAGACATACACGTTCATTTAATTAAAAAGTAAGTATTATTTTATGCCTATGTGTAGATAAAATTTTGCATCTAAAATGTCAATGAATTTTGTATCATGGTTGGTTGCGTCTAGATTTACTTACAGTGATAAACGTTGATGTTTTGTTCCATGCATGAATATGCTGCAGAGACAAAAGGCAAAATTAAAAGTTTTTATAGTTCTAAATTTATTACTCAAAATCACATATATGTACTGTATTGTATATAGTACTGTCCAGAAATAACTGAACACTGCGGTTGCGGTTCGGTCGCGGTTGCGGTTCGGTCGCGGTTCGGTCGCGGTTCGGTCGCGGTTCGGTTGCGTTCGACCGATAAAAACCGCAGATGACCACAAGAGAAAAATACGATCACTTGTTAGCGTCATTTTAAATAATAACCGGTTAATTTACATTCGTTTGGTGTATGTTCGGATGTAAACCTTTTACATCAAACGTATTGAATAACACTTCGTAGGGTACTTATAAACATCACATAACTATCAATTTATTGGCAATTCATTATGTTATCATTACGACTTATTATGTTTACATTACGATCAATTGATTATGATCAATTAACTATGATCAATTTTTCCGCAGGCAAAAAACACTATTATGGTTTGTTTTTCACAAGGTATATAATTCCCCAATATTTCTCAGAATGTTATTTTACATGGATAGATTTTAACAGCCTCGTATCCAGAATTTTTTCTTTCAGGGATTTCGCAACGTCCATAAGAGATAATACTCGTGTATAAGAGATAATACTCGCGTATAAGAGATAGAATAAAGGGGTCTATTATACCCACTTTTCCTCTTATATTCTTAAATCCCTAGTCAATGGCGGTTATAGCAACTGGAGTGTGAGTATCATATGCCATGTCTCATGCGGTGAAGGAGTGGAAATATGGGAAAGAACTTGTGATAAACCAGAACCAAAATACGGAGGCAGTAACTGCAGTGTTCTTGGAAGCTCAACTGAGAAAAGAAAATGTAACAGAAAACCTTGTCCAGGTAATGGTACAAGCATATTTAAAGCACTCGCAGAGAGATTGTTCGCTAGCGAAATATCTGCACCTTTTTTTTGTAATAAGAATAGTTAAGCTGAACTAAGTTATTTCTCTTGTCAAAATTCAACAGAGAATCTGCAAACATTTTCCTAGCAAACTCTTTCTCTGCAAGTGGAAATTTGCCCTAACTTTTTTAATAGAAACTAGTTTTCCCCGGAGCTATACCAGGCTTATATTTGTTATTTTATCCAAATTACAGGACAAAACTATTTTACTGTGTGACATGAATAATAGGATACTTATACCTCCTTGCAATCTATATTCAAATTTTTACTCTAGTTGATGGTAACTATGGCAACTGGACGAAAGCATCGCCATGTAGTACCACGTGTGGCGGTGGAGTCGAGGTCTGGATACGGCATTGTGATAATCCCCCTGGAAAGTACGGTGGTAACTGTAGTAAGCAGGGCAAGGATCAAGATGAACGCTTGTGTGAGAAGCAACCATGTCCTTGTAAGCTATCACATGATAACTTTTTTGTCTGGGGTTCAAATGTCAAGTATATTCTTTACAATTCTTACGAGTTGCAAAATTAATATGGACGAGCCTCTTATAATCTTTAAAGGTGATTTGATTTTTACTAGATTTCCGTACTGGCGCTAACCACCGTGTCATAGTGGGTTCCCACCAAAAAATACACTACTAGCATTTAACCAAATTTTTTCTCCATCCAGCCAAAAATTTAACTCGTTGCCCTCTGAAGAACTGCGTTTTAGTTCAGTATTGACATAAAGTAAAACCACGGAATATTATATATAGCTTTTTGGCACTTTCACAGCCATGATATGTACAACTGTACAAGAAAATTACTTTATTTCTCATTTATAATGAACATATAGTTTACCTGACTTTTAAAGTGCTGTTTTCGATATCATATTTTTTATTGTTTTCGAAACTTACAATATTTTTTTAACAGTGAAACTTTATTTATGTTTTAATATTTAGTTGTCCTTGATTCCGGGACGATTAGCATCATCGTTATTACTTCAAGCTTAGCATTCATTACTGCAGTTGCCATTCTTATCTTCTTCCTACGAAAACGATGGCGAAAACAAGGTAAATTTCACTGCTTTGCAATTGTACAATTTCTGTTTTAATTGCACGATATGAAATAATTGAAGGCGCCGCCTTTAAAGCACATTATTTTATCTCAACATACGCAAACTTGAAGCTGATTATTGCCGTATGACAGATTCTCAACGGTTTAATTTGTCTAGGATGTCAACATTATGCCATTTTTCGTTTTTCTTCTCAAAATTCCCCGGATGGTGGGCAACATCACCAATGTAATGATACAGCAGAAGGCGCAAGCTTCTTACAGGGGAATGATACGAGGGATAAATTATATGAAAACCTGACAATCGTAGGAAACCCGGCTCCAGGCCTTTCCCGAGGTGTTGTAGATCACAGAAATTATTACGCCAACACGCTCTCGCGAAGTTCCTTGTATGGCAAACTGCAAGTATTCCGGCCAATGGCTGTTGCATGGCTTCGAAACGCGTGGGGGAATGTGGACGAGTTTGGCAACCATATTTATGACGTCATGCAATGTGATGTCAGACAAGTCTTTGTCCCATACGATAGGCTGGAACACGCAGTGCAAAATGACTCCGCTGGAAGTTGCGATGCAACTTCTGATCCCGGCTCAGCGCAGGAAGACTCTAGTGAAAGTGAGACGGAGGCAATTAGTTCAATTTACAATACCCTGGAAAGATTTCCAGCTGTGGTATTGCCAACCAGAGCCGAGGGTGTTTAACGAATGGTATTACCTAATTTCTAACAGCAAGACGTTCTGAACTGCCTGTTTATGATGACCGGAATATTACGCAATAATTTTGAAAAAATATACCCACCTATGGTGAATCACAAGAACATATTAATACTTATTTCTCATGTTGAGCGAGAAGCAATTATCGAAACGATTTGTTGTGCTTTTTGTGTAAAATACACTCGCTGGATTTCGAAATAACGACATACGTTCCTATAAATTACTTTATAAATTATAGTTTACTGCCGGGACAGAATAATTGTTGCAATCATTGTACTAAAAAAGTAATATCGTCCAACTTGGTATTTTTCAAATAATGATAGTATATCTCGATAGTAAATATAATGATAGTAAATATTTTACCGAGGTTTCAATCAGACTGCAGGAAATGCTAGCATTCCGTCCTCTGCTGATTTGTATAAAAAATGTGAGTTATTGCTAATCTTCGTTGCCAATTAATGTCTTAGTATAGCCTCCAGCCTTCAATCTGAATGATTGATTGATTGATGGATGTTTGATCATGGGAACGCAGCACTGTTGAGCTGCGTGGTTACGCGCGGCAGACCTAGCCTAACAAGCGGACAAAGCGTAAAATATAGAGATTACTTTGAAGCTTTGATATCTTTAACATGTAAAATTTGCATATAAAATACATCATATACGAAACGAAAAGCGTAAATACAGGAGGTTGTTGAATATTGATGATCGCCAGAAGTGGTCAACTTTCACTGCATTACAGAGAATTAAATTTTGACGTTCTTTGATTTACCAAGACAACTGATTTTATTTCCCAAGGTATTCTGCTCGAAAACCAAGGCAGACAAATCTCGATCATCGATTAAATCATATCATCAATTCTTTCATATTATCAAGACTGCATGGCTTTCCAACAAATCGGTGGAGTTCCACAAGGAAATGTTATTGGCCCTTTCCTATTTTCACAATTAATACCTCTTAAGATTACATTAATATAACTTCTAGGTATAATTTATTCTTACTTAAGGCCATGTTACACGATGCAATTTTCAATGCAATGCAATTCTACTTCTAAAATATGCAAAATAGTGAAGTGTATTCAAAATGTGAGTGTAAGAAATGTACATGGAGTGTAATAAACATAAAAGTTTCGAAGTGGGTAAATTTACATCTCTCGAAAGTAGAATGGCATTGCAAGTTGCAAGAAAAATTGCACCGTGCACGTGCAACATGCCTTTATACGCGCGAGAAAATATGCACTACAAGCCTATATGGCTATGCATGCATTACTGCAATTTCATGGAATATCGAGAATTGTGTTTTAAACGGGTGACAGCGCCTTCTGCTCATCGGTTGATTCAAAAAACTGTTCCAACTCTGTTTTAAATATACATAGCTCAAAAACTCTAGCAAGTTTATACACACACAGTTCAACGCACAACAAGTATTTCATTATACGCACAGCAAACTAAATATAGTTGATTGACGAATGCATTTAGACATGTAGACAGTAGCATAAAATTTTGAAATGTAAACAAAATATTTTGCTTTTAGATGTATTTATTATTAAATAATAAAGGAAGTTAATGTTATACGGGTCTTCGTATCGTAGTGTCGCGGGTCCTAGGACGCTTGTCCGGTCGGCTACTTGCCCCCTCCGGTGACTACAAATATGAGCCCAGTTTGCCTGATCGAGTTGTTAGTTGCTTGCGTGACCCATCCCGCCCCTTTCCCTAACGACTTCACGCGATGTTGTGAACTCTACGGGAGAAGCGTCTTATTAATCTCGCTGGGGTTTGTTTTTTTTGTTAGTTTGTTTTGCAGGATTAAGCACAGTTCTTTTCACACCCGTTTTGGTCGTGGAATGGGTGTTTGGGGTAAAGGTAAATTCATTAATGATCGCCACATTTACAGGTTTTTTTTTTGTTTTTTTTGTGTGTGTGTGTGTACTTTGATGTTCGTATCGTTTATTCCACGGTTTCACTTCAGTGACTCACGTGTGACAGTTGATCACGGGATGGAGGAGGTACCGTTAAAATAGCATGGTTCGTTGAGTTATTATCTGCGCCGAAAACAGCAAACTCAAAAGAAACACCGTTTCACCCCTAGCCCGACCGTTTCGCTCGGATACCGTCTCCATCCCTACCGATCGGCAGCGGGCAAAATATAGTGTAAGAGCTGGTGTGCTATCGTACTGATGTGAGCCTTAGGATCCGTTAGAACGTTAAATGCAGACCATACAATGCAAATATGTCATCTGCGTCCAAGGTTGAAAAAATATCGGCTATATACTTTCGTCGTTTACAATCTGTCATATTCTTTCAGCATTACCCTATCTCACACACATTTATAACGGCAAGGGTCGTTTGCTAATACTTGAGTAATTATTCATTTCTTTAGAAACTGATTGTTTTCACAGTCAATGAACACAGAATTATTGGTGTAGCAAGACGAAATCGCCTGGTTGGCTACCCTAATGACTTTGCTGCTTTCGAAAGAAAACGATGTTTGTAAAAGAAAGTGACAATCACTGTTGGCAAACTTTCTTGCAAAAGCATGCATATTATTTACATTGCATGCATTGCTTTGCATATTTCGTATAAGGAACTAAAGGAAGTCGTTTGTGCCAGACACTTTGCGGAAGTCTTTATGGAAATTGAGCTGGTTTACGTAAATCATATGAAATACAATACACTAAAGTAAATGCTGGTGTTGGTTGACCTTTTCTGAACACCCCTCATAGATTGGAGTCGCTTATACGACGGGAATGTCAATTTTATCTGTGGCAGTGGCTCTATACTAATTCTGGCATCGATATTCCGCACAAATATTGCAGGTAAAGTGAAAGTCAATCACGAGTATCTAAATTTGTGTATATCATTGACATGTGCATGTGCATGCATTCGGGCCGCCGTGCATCAAGCCGTTTTAGCAAAACCGTGTATTTATAAGTTCAAAGCAGGTCTAAACTAAAGGTTCGTTATTGAAAAACGAGTTTAGTAGTTTTTAAAGTGAATAGTACGACAATTTTACTACTACATATTCAGTACATATATATTGCCTGCGTATTTAGGTTCATTCATGCGTGAGAGATATTTATTTTAACTGCATTTTGCCGAATGGGCTTCGAACAAATGCCTCAGAATAAATATCGTTAGCAGCGCTGAATTAGCGCCAATTGATGGCATTTTTGGTAAGCCTGACCCTTTATTCATTTTCGTTATTTCTGAAATATTTGACGTACAAAATTCTGAAGAATTGCGCTAATCTAGAGGCCGGTTATAAAAAGGTATATATAGTTAAATACATATAACGTCAGAAGTAGCCAATCAGAATTTTGTATTTTGTATATAAAGCCGGCATTAGGATTAAAACTGGGCTTTTGAACAAAAGGGAACAATGTTTTGCATATATAGCCTTTTATCTCGAACACATTTAACTTAACAAAAATACCCAAATAACAATTGCAAGCATTTATAAATTATAACAATGGCTTGACAATGGCTGGTGATGCATCAGTCTGAATGAACTTCAGCAAGCAAAAGATATACTGTAGTTCGTCTGGGTGTAAACACAGACAAACAGACGGATCATCTGCAACACGAATTATCCGCATAGTTCGTCTATATTTAGACGAATTTGAAGCCCCAGTTACACGATACGGGATTAGTTTCGTATCGGATTATCTACGTTGATTCGATATACATCATTATGGTAGCTACGTATCGGATTTGTCTTGATCACACGAAACCAGATTGATCCAAGTACAAACAAAATGGCGGACAACGAAGGGTAAGCAAAAAGTAAAAAAATATCCTCGCGTGGACAGACAGTGAATAAATTTTTTAATCGGAAACGTTTGCAAGCGTTTGATGTCCATTTACTTTTCCCGCCAAACATATTATATACCGGATTAGAGGGATTCCTGTAGGTAATATTCGTTCAGACCGGACGGATAACCCGTGTCTAATATAAATCGGGTCAAATTTGCGAATTTATATAGGGGCATTTCGATAAATTGTGTACCGATTCCTCATGTACACCTGCATGCATCCGCCATAGAGTTTGCGTTGATGTCAACATATTTTCTTTTGTTTTAGGTGGCTACAATTTTCATGATGAAGATAAAAATAGGTATACATACGATTTTCTTGCTACTATATCAGAAAGGAAGTCCATAAATTCCGAACTTATATGATGCCGGCGAAATTTTCCCACGATGTGTGGGAAAATGTTTCTCGCGTTTCGAAACCGTTTTACGTGTTCGAATTAATTGAGACAAAAGTTCACGCGATTGGTATACCTGACTTTCAAGTTTAACACCATATATATTCCGCTTAGTGATCCGCAGGGTTGAATATAGATATGATGGACTTTGGATTTTAACTTTGAGATTTGTTCTTGGCAAAAAAAATAAGAATATTTAAGCCTCCGCGGTTGGTTGGACTTAAGGCTAATTTCCACTCCGGAAAACGAGCAGCGGATCGGATCGGATTGGATTTTTCTCCGAGCTGGTCCGATCCATGAAGTGATTTCGGATCGGATAAAAAAAGTTAAAACTATTTGAACTTTTTTTTATCCGGTCTCGGACGCTTTCGGATCAATATAAGCCAAAAATTTCAACAGACGGCGCACGCGCGGATTATCTTTCGTTCCGATCCGATCCGATCCGCTGCTCGTTTTCCTGAGTGGAAATTAGCCTTTAGGGGCTGTCTACAGCTCGGTTACCCGAGATTCAACGAAGCGTGAGAGGACTTTGATGTATTGAAATAAGTCTTTATGACACCAAACAAGCACATACTATTGTTGTGGTGATTATACGACTGTCAGGATCATGTTATCTGCTCATTTCAATACCTCAACATCGATAGCTATAAGGGGCTTTTTTATGTCAGACGGAAGTTATAATCAAACTCAAGTCTTTTTTGGGTCACAACAGAACGTGTATAATCAAACTCACAGCTAGCTTGCACTTAACCTTGAATAGCTGCTCTTTCAAGTATAATTTATAGAAATCGTATAAAGTATAGCGAAAGAATTATATCGGTTTGGGTTACCGGACAAGCTTGGCCCATATAATTTTATATAAGCCTTATCAAAGAATATATACATATAATCCTTATGAAATTATATAATAAAATAAAAGTATACAGGGTGAGTAAAAAAAACCTGACACCTTTGAAATTCAAATTAGCTGCAATCTGTCTGTAATTGTTTGTAATCGGCTGTAATGTGACAGAAGTTGCCTAAAATATCTCATGGGTATACGAAGCATATCAAATAGGTGAACCATTA